ATATATTTTATGAAAGACAACATGATTTGAACATACTTCTCCTGACTGATTCTCTAAGATATGCAATGATGACAACACTGTGCTGGAGGTCTTTGGTATTCAGCACAATTGCATTCCTGTGGAATTACAACTAGGATGTTGTATGTCTCTTAAGATAATTTCTTAGACTCTCATCTGGATTTCTTCAGGAATCTAAGTCATGAACATGGCAAAAGTTCTTCAGGAATCCATTGTGAGTATGAAAAGCTGTTATCAAGGCAGATAAGAATCCAACAATGCTGGCTTACTGCTGCTGGACTCTAAAGAGCAATGTTTTTGCAGTTAAATACAGAATGAAATCTCCAAAAATTCATTTTAGGTAGGTAATCATTACTTATTGTTATTATTTCTTTCATTACAGATAGTTTTTTGCAGCAAAAAACAATGTTAATTACTTTAAAACTAGGCCCAATAGAAAGAAATAGAAAAAATGATTTGAAATTAAAGGGTTCAAGCAAATCTGAAAATGTTTGCTAGAGAGAAAGGATTTAATGCTGAAATGAATGAAATGTTAGTTGCTTAAAATAAAATTTGTCATTTACTGCCATTTTATTTTTGATACTTAATGCAGTTTAGGTAGTGCTGTCTCAGATTTTTCATTTTGCTTGTTTAAAATTACTTAAATAAAATAGTTCTTATAGTAATACAAGAGAAAAAGGTTAATCAAGTCAACAACAGGTCAGTTTATTATTTTGTAAAAGTTTTACTCTTAAATATTTCTTGTATTTTGTTGAAAGGGCATTCAATGACTAGTGAAATAATTGCACATTATAAAATAAGCATTACTCATTGAGACTATTCTAATGTACTTAGCTCAAACAAGGTTTGAATTTACAACAGTTGAAAAAAATTTTAGAATTCATTTACTTGGAACAAATCTTAAAGACAATAATAGCTGTTATTTTTATGTTAGCTGAACATGGCCTACTTTTCAAAGAATAATTGAAGATTTTGATTCACTGTAGAATGGGAATTTTAGGATTGCTTGAGTTTACTAGTCAGTTTGATCTATTTTTAGCTGGACACTTTTTAAATATGGAAATTCTGCAAAAAAGGAAACCTCTATACATCCAAAACCATCTGTAAGAAGTTCATTTTACTAATAGCTCAAAAGGTACATACATTCATTGTTAATGAAAAAATTATTCTGATTATTTTATGTCAGTTAATTCAACACCAGATCTATTGACACACAGGATCAATTAAGTATTGTTCTTTGATACTTAAAAAGCTAGTGTTTAGCAGGATGCCAACCCTTTATGGAATTAAATCATCATACTGGAAAGGAAATAGCACACCACTTATTATAATACTTACAATTATAGCTTTTTGAAAAAGAAATACTACTAAATGTTGATTACAAAACTGTTCAAATTCACAAATGTGTCAGAAAGAAACTATCCAATAATGAAGATGCATTAAAAGTAGATCAGAATTCCAGAAATAAATTTCATATTGCCTAATTATTGACAAACTAAAAACTGAAAGGAAAAGAAAAAGTTTACAAAGAAATACACACATTTTCCTTTCTAAAGTGTCAAATAATGTCATTTCATATACAGAAAAATAAAAGATACTTTCACTGCTCTCAAAAACTAACTAATGCTTATCCAGAAGATAGAAAATAATCTTTCTGCTGAGCTTTAGCACTTTTATACATGTAAGAATCATAACTTCAGTGTAATAACAAATATAAAAACCAGCTTCATTCATGATAAACATTATAAAATAATTGTAGAAGATAAAATTAATTGGGTGTTTCCAAATGTTGATGTTGCACACTTGAGCATTTATTTTTTCAACTCAAACATTTTAAAAATCAAAGTTGAACAGCTATGTGATAAAACAAATTGGATGCCTTGTCTCTGCCAAATGCAGAAGTAGATTTGCTACATTAAATCAGTTAGAGATCTTGATCAAAGACTTTGCAATTAACAAGTAAATAAATACAAGTAAATAAAAAAAATAATAATAAATAAATTTTCAAACTATTACTTCATAATCATCATTTACTTAATCTTAATGTCTTATAAGTTAAACAAGTAGTAGTTGTGACAGCACCATTGTTAGGCTTTGTTTAGACTATCACTTGGTCCTAATTTGGCACTGATCTATATACTTAATTTGGTCATTGGATCAAGAATTACAAAAATATTTTTTGAATTGTTTATGTATCATTTAATAATAGAAATAAATAAGATGATTAAGAAAATATCTATGCTAATTTAGCAAATATTTGAAAAATCTTTATTTTAAAAACAAATAAATAATCTATTAAACATATAAAGCTTATTTTCAAATTATCAAAATTAATTTTTCAAACCAACCAACAAAAGTTCTCTAAACAATTCCTAGTGAAAAAATAAATTTCACACATTTAAAATAATTTAACTGTTGTTTTTCTTAAATAAATGCTACTGCTCTAGATTTTTGATAATTATTTATTTTATTTTTAAAAATTCATACAATATATATATGTGGCAAAACATCAAGTTACAAAGTATTGAATTTCTTTGAAGTTTATGTGGATAAAAATGTGAAAAAAACTATCTAGCACAGAAGTATCCGATTTACATTTGTTGTAAGAAAATGAACATAATCATAAATTTCTTTTTTGTTTTCAATATTATAAAATTTCTGTTATGTATATTTGATAAGAAAGTTTGAATGTGATAATAACAAAGATCACACATTCATTTAAAAAATTAATTGGTTTCTTTCTTAATGTTAAATAATAATAAGATAGATCACAAATTTTTAAATTTGCAAAACTTTTAAGTTTTGCAAAACTAAATTATATCTTTTAGAATTTTTCTTATTAAATAAAACTATTCATGTTTTAAATCTAAAATGATAACAAAAGAAAATGGCAAATTAAAAGATTGAAAAAAAAAAAAAAAAACAAAAATGTTAGTTTGAGTTGGCTTTTTAATCCATATTAAGAAAAAATGTAAGTTTAATATAACTTACAATGTAAAAATTTGCTTTTATCAGAAAATTGAACTATTTTATAAAAAAATATTTAAATTTTAATTTTTAATTTTTTTCCCTCTAAGTCATGAATAATTGAAATAAATTTACAATTACAAAAAATACATATATGTAAAATTACAAATTCATTCTCCCATTTTATCTGCACTTGATATTTATAACAGACATACTGTATATTTATTGTGTTGTAATGTGTTTTCCTCAGACAAAACACATTTTTGTAAGTATTTATTGAAAGCAAAACTGTAAATCTTGAAATATATTTTTTTTATTTATCAGTAAATTAAGAATGATACACACAACTGAAACTTAATTTTTATTACTACTAACTAAACATTAAAAGTCATATATTTTTATAATATTTGTCTTAAACTTTTCAATATTTGTATTGTCATTTAAAGAATATATATATATATATATACTGTATATATAAAACATATTTAAAATTAATTCTATATTAGACATTATTTTTCAATAGGTATTCTTTCTTTTAAACACTGATTACCTATTGTAATTTCTAGAGAAATCAATTAAATTCAATCTAATCATTAAATAATCAATAAAATATGCTACATACTAATTAAAAATATCATAAATACCTTTATTGTAGTTTTTTCTTTTATCTCTAATTTGTTTATTGCAAATTTATCTCTAATAATTCATTTTTCAATAGTATGAAAAATTGTTAAAAATAAAAATTTGTATCAAACTAATGGAAAATAAAGAGAACAAATAAATAAATTTGTTAATGTTTTTAGTTTAAATATGGATTGCTATAGAAGTGCAACAGAAATGGACATTGTCCAAAAGTCAGTAACAGTTCTAATTTTCAAAACTAGTATATATAATCACAAACTATTCAAATATTTCATACACATGGATGAATATAAAAATTCCATATGTAATATTTATATTTTAACAATAATAAACAAAAAACATTAAAAATCTGTTTGTTTTCTTTATTTTTTGAATTCAATATTTTATAGACAGGACAGCTGGAAGGAAAGACAAAAATATCTTAATAATAATTCACCTACCTGAATTTAAATGTACATATAATATACATTCATTAATTTTTTAGATATTTATAGCATAGAAATTCCAAATACATTTTATCAAATACAGCTATTCTTATTTAGCTCTGGATCTTCAATAAAATGTATCTGTTGTGATTATGAGTCCTTGATAAAAAATATTCATATGATATATATATGGTGTGTGTACATATATATATAAATAATTATTCTACTGTACACATAGAATGTATTCTTAAAATGAACATATAGTTTACACACAATAAATTATAAGAAAAAATATATTGTATTTTAAATACCATATTTACAAAAATAAAACAAATATATCACAGTGCAGTGTTTTATATTGTTTGGTGCTTGACTTTGAATCTGCAGGTGCAGGTTGAACATCACTAAATCTACTTCTAGATTTTCATAAATATTAAAAAGTCCTGTTAATAATTGATGTATAGAAAAATTTAAAAAGAATCAGTTTTTATTCTTATTGCCTAGTGAATAAAAAAAGGCAGAAATTATTAAGCAATAAAGTAACAACATGTAAGAACAATGCTATAGTAAAAAGCAAAGAGCAAATATTTAATTACACATTGTGGTTAAAAAAATTTTGAATAATATAATTATCAAAGTAATTATATTTTTCAAATTAATGTTTCTTCATGAAAATAGCAGTTATGCAATAATTTTCAGTGACCTATATTAAATCAGAAAATTTTGTATAAAATGTAGTTTATAAATACAAATATTCCAATACTTTAACAAATTTGAAATTTTTTTATTTTTTGATTAAAAAAGTAATAATAAAGAATTATCATTTAAAGTTAAATAAAATAAAATTCGAATTTTATTATATTGTTTAAAAATTCAGGGAATAACAAAATAATTTCTTAAAATAAATATTAAATAAGAAAAATTCCACAAGAAAGAGAAGCTGCTTACAGCTTGATCAGTGGCACTCTTGCTGTAGGGCACCGGTATCAACCGATCCTGCAATTCACCGCCAATCACCTTGGAAAATACACAGCAGCAAATATATATGCTTTGATTTTGAGCCATATAAATACATGTAAAACAGCTGAGATGTAATTGAAAATGAAGCTACATCCAAGAACTACAATGTTTCTTATTTAATATAGATTATTTGATGATACTGTACATCAGTTGGCAATTTCACAAAATTTTCAATTAACTTTATACATTAAAGAGAAACAAGAATAAAAACATACAAAATAAGCAATAAGTTATTACATAAGTTTTTCTAGGTAAATAAACAGTCCAAAAAAGTACATTTTACTGGGTAGATAACATTACCGATCCTGAAATATTCTCGAAACAATAGAAAAAAAATATTTATTATATTATTTATCAACAAATTATGTGAATTTCAAAATAAATTTATGATATTATCAGTTATTTGTTCATCATGCATTACAATTACCTTATTTTAAGTAATGATTAAAAGCACAACACACACCCATGCAATGTATTGCTTATTTTGAGTATTTTTCTATAGTATAGGAGTCCAAAGGGTTAAAAGTCTCTCCACAATTCTTATACTATATTTCAAATTCATAAAATATATAGTTTAGTAGATATATTAATCCAAAATTTTTCTTTTCAATTAATAATTTTTCTTCATAAATACATAAAAATAGTTTTTGATTTGGTGCAAGAACAATAAAAGTTTGTATATATAAATTACACGTGTGGCACTGGCACTTTTTCACACGAGGCAACCAATTATCGACTTCTTGCTGCAATAATTGATTGCAACAAAATTTGATATATATGTAGATTCATATTGCAATTAAACAATTTCTTTTGTTGTTTTAATTGCAATTTGCATGAAACCACTTTGATCTTCTCATTAGAACAATCTATATTTTTTTCTTACAAAGTACTGTACATACAACCAAACTGTAAAGCATCCAGTCTATACTGTTGTTTTCACTTATAATTAAAATTTAATCAAAAAACATATATAAAGTCACAATCACTATTTCATAAGTAAGACAACTACATGAACATTGAAAGTGAATCTATATTTTATAAATTTATAGAATCAATGTAAAACATTTAAAAGATATATACAACATTACATGACTTTTATATTAGTGACAAGAATACAATTGAAAATTAGTCTGTATTGGAGAAGAATAACGCCGCTTACAGGCAGTGAAGTTGAGTAATTTTTGTAAATAGCTATATTTTATAAATTTATAAAATCAATGTAAAACATTTAAAAGATATATACAACATTACATGACTTTTATATTAGTGACAAGAATACAATTGAAAATTAGGATTGAACTATATATTGGCCATTAATTAACAAACATTTTATTTTCTGCATTATATACTTTAAACTTAATTAAAGGACACCTACATTTTATAACACTAAATACATGTACATTAACAGAACAACTTTATCAAAATGTAAACAGAAAGATTGTGACCATTCATAAAATGAAAATCTTACAGAACTACTGGTACAATTATATCTTATTTTTTTCCTTCAATACGAAACTAATGATGAAATATCTAAATTACAAAATTTATCAGAAGGTTTTAACAGATATCAACGGGCATAACTCATCAACAAGATTGTGTTATCATTACTGGAATATTTTTAATAAAAAAAGAGGAACTAAAAAAATTGGAATTTTCACGATTAAAAGTGCATTAATCTCTAATAATAAAATATTAGAGATTAATATTTTCATTCTAATATTAATGATTCATTCTACGGATGAATCATTACGTATTTTTAGTCATTTTATTTGAAATATTATCTAAATAACTGATGCCTTACTTTTCTAAGTCTGAAATGAAAATAAACCTGCATTTAAACTAAACTAACCTATTTATTTATTCTAAGCTGCTTTTAACATAAACCTGCACAAAATACAAATTATTATACAGAAACTGGAATATATAAATTATAAATAAATAAATAATTTGAAATAAAAACCAGAATTGAATATACTTCGTAAATAAATGAACACGTGCAAATCAACGGTTACGTTTTAATATATATATATATATAAATTTATTACATTGCTTATTTACTTTTAATAAATTTTGTCATTAAATTTGAAAGTGAATTCTTTATCCAATAAACTTCTACATATTTGGTTATAATTCTATTGATTATATTACAGTTTATTAGCTGCTAAATTATACTATGGTAAAAATTCATTAATCCGATAATAATGAGAGGGTGTTGGATGAAACAATTCCATCATCTCTAGAATAACTTAGTTAGGAGGACCTCAAACTTCTGAGGAACTTAATTTGGTAAACTATAGTCTACATTGTATTCTTCTAAATAAAACTTGCTTTGTTAGAACTAGTGCACACATACATGCATGATGTATTTTCTTTCCCATAGGCCATTGCAGGGATGAAGTGCATCTAAAAACAAGTTTTCACATTTAGGCACATATAGCTTTTGTGAATCGTATGTATACGTGTCCGATACTTTACTCTTACCAATCTTTCGGGAATTGAAAATAGAATGAATCGAAGGTTTTGCTTTATACGCTTTACAATCATGCAATGTATCATCTGATTGATTAAAGAGCTTGTGTAAACAAATCCAAAGCATATGGCTGCTGAACATTTTTTGCCAGAATATGCTGTGTCTGCAATGTTCAGATCACATAACTTATCAAATTTGCAAAAATAAAGTCCACTCTGGTCTTGTAGGCACCAGATTAAACTTATACTGTAGGCTACTAAAAGAGTGTTTTTTAATAATCTATTGTTTGAGGAAAACTATAATAGATTTTACAGAGATGCTAATTCCTAACCAACAAAAGAGAACATTTATATAACTTTTAAAATTTGAACAATTTATATGTTTACTGAGAACATTAAATATGTTGCTTTTTATATTCTACATTTTAATTTTTCAGCAGGGAAAGCAAATCATCTTAATATAATTACAGTATTTGACATTTTAACAACTTTTTAAAATTAATTTATGTAATTTAGAATACAGTAATTATGCATTGGCATTTTTGTAGAAAAGAATTTGATAAAGTTTACTTAAAATATTTACTATAGAAAGAAAAGGTTATATCGGTTATGTTAAGTTACAAATTGGTTAGGTATGTAAGACATAGTCTTTTAGACAGGTTTATTATAAATTAGGCTATTTTCTCAATTTATTTTTTTGTTTTTTTATATAAATACATATTAATTAATGTTTCTCTTTCATTACTTACTGGTTTCTGGGTTTAAAGTTGATACTAACTTTTTAGGTTTGGTTTGTACAAATGAACAATCAACTGAAAGCTAAGGATACAAATTGAGTAATGCTTTAATTCTGTGTGTATTTCACACTATGTAACACATTGGTATCCAAAATACATTTTAATAACATTAAATTGCCTAACAGGAAGTAGAAACTTTTGGCATATAAAGATTCACAATGACAAAGGTAGTAACTATTTAATTAAAACAGACAAATGTTTTCAATTATCATATGGAAGGCAATATGTTCAAATCTCTGAAATTTTAGGTTTGATACTTTTTTTAAAGTTTATAATGGAATATGATGACCTCTTACAGATATACAAGACAAGGCATACTCATAATCAGGCCATTGATAATGGTTGGTTTTGAAATCAACTTTTTTTTAGTAACAGTAATTTTCAAATTGTAACCCTTCAGAGGAATAAACTATGCTAGACAGGATTTCACTCCACAATAAAGGGGATTGGGTGCATGCAACTACACCATTTGAATAGCCATTACCAATAACCTATAATCTTTTGCACTTGCTTCTAAATATTAGTTAAATAAGATAGTACCATGTTTTTGTCTAGCTTGTATTTAATGAGAAATAAATTTACATTGTTTAGAACTTAGGATAGGTTATCCTAACTTGATGATAATGCTTGGTATATCAGGGATGGCCAACAAGTCGATCGCAAAGCCAATTTTGGTTGATCGCTCGCGATGTCTTGACTTAATGTGTTACACTTGTAACCAAACACCACTGTAGTGATATTGGACCTCCGTGTCCTCCCTCGGATGTGGTTTTGTCAGTCCATATCCAATCCATTTGTGTACAATTGTAAAAGGGAAATAAGAAATGTAGAGAAAGGGTCGTAAAATCGAAAAAAGAAGGGACAGAGAGAGTAGGTCGGGACACGGTAGAGGGAAGAAGGTTGAAGTGGTGGTCCCCGAAAGTGACAACGTTGAGTTTCAATTTTTCTTATTTAAAATGTAAGTACCTTTTCTTCGTGTTTTAAATTAAATTGTGGCTTTTCTTTTCTATCTAAACTTAGTATGTATTTCACACCTCCCTCCCCCTCGCCACTTAGACCAGGGATGGGCAACCTTTTTCTGTGTAAGGGCCGCATTTCAAA